TCACCTACCATTTTATTCAAATTTTGAAATTCGAATGAAGTGTCATTGTATAGAAAATTCTATTGCCGTTTCTACTCTTTATGATCAATTAGGCACCACGATTCAAGGTCCCGACGGGCCCCAAATGGAGATTAAACTTCGAGAGACTGGGCTTTATTAGAAGAATGAAATAAATTAGAGTTTGAAGAATTGAATTTGCTTGTGTCATGTCTAGATTTTTCGAAAATGTAACATAATTCCATTGGCAGCAGCTGTAAAAGTTGATCGTGGATCTAAATGGTTTTCGCTCTTTGGATCCTGATAAACCTCGTAGTCCTTCAGAATCATCGATAGCACCATCTTTACGTGTAATTGTCCAACTTTCATGCCTAAATTATGAAAATTGAAAAAAATCGTTAGTTGTTCAAATAATCTGGACAAAACTAAACTTATAAAATGTATGGAGAATTTCTTACCAACACACATCCTTGGACCAATTCCGAATGGTATGTAAGCTTCTGAAATTTGCTGTCCCTCTTGAAAACGATCGGGATTGAAGAGCTCGGAATCTTCGAAAAATTTCGGGTCTCGCTGAAGTCCATATAGTGATATATAAATAGGCGTTCCCTGTTTTAGGATAATATCAGTTCCCGGTATCTGTAAATAAATTTTATCCATTTTGAGCTGGATATTTTGAAACGGAATCGTTTATTATTATACTACATTATATCTAGACAAAAAATAGTAATGGAATGTTCATATGTTATACCACGAGATTTTCAAAATTATTAGGTATTGATCTATAAGTTAGTTGCAAATTAATGAAAGAGTTGAGATTTATCCTGAAAAACTTGAGAGGTGTGATTGTTTGCAGAGAAATTTGAGGGAAATATCTGCTTGAGTTGAAAGTTGAGTTGAAAAGTGATAAAACTGGCTAACTATTCAAATGACACAAGGACGAAATAGAAAATTTATTTAGCCCTTTAATTAACAAGTAGTCAAATCTTACCTGATAATCTTCTTTGGTAAATCTGTCAATGGTAGATACTGGGGGATGCAGTCTTGCACCTTCAGCGATACACTGATCCAAATAGTTCATATCAGTCATAGCTTTATAGCTCCAGCCATGCTCATCAATAGCCCTTACGATGTCTTTTCTCGCCTGCTCCTGACACTCCACATTCTTCGCCAATTCCATAAGTGTAAATGCTGCAATTGTCGCACTGGACTCGAACCCCGAGAAGAACGTTCCTGATTGGAATAGAAGATTCTCTCCCTCGAATTCTAAACCGAAATTGGTATTTTCAGGCCTAGCCGTGGGAAACATACCATCCTTTCCCAAGTAGAAAATTGACAAGCTTGTGGGAAAGTGTGATATGTTTTGCACGGCGTAGTTTTAACAAAATTTTTCCAGGCGCAGGGCCTGGAAAATGCGAAAGGATGTTTTTCAGCCGCTAGTCTGGAAAAATGCCATTATATTTTATCTTCGGAAAGAAATCTAATTTCTATTCAATTCGTTGCGATCATACGTTGGAATAATAGTTTAACGCTCACAAGGACTCCAGCAGAGCCCACGCAGCAAAACAAATCTCAATTGTGTTCTATATTTTCTATTGCCTTCAATCTTGCACTAAACATTAATTTAACATTCTCTCTGAATCATTACATAGCTTCTCATTTTCTTAATGAAGTGGAAATGTTCAAAAATTGATAAGATAACAAGATGTTTTTTCATATATATTATTCTTTCGGATAGTCATCTGCAAAATTATATCAACATATATTGTTATTGTCATTATTTTATGATTTCAACAGTACAGTGAATCTGCCATAAGGTGTTCCCTTGATAATTTCACCCTTTCCCGTTTTGAGAAGAAATATTCTACCATCACTCCACAATTATTGTACGCTCCTTTCAACCGTTAAGTCTTAACGCACACTCTTTCCTTTTTTTATGTATAAGAGACCGTCATAATCTTAAC